TTTTTTTTTTTTGTGGTACGCGGGCCTCTCACTGTTGTGGCCTCACCCGTTGCGGAGCACAGGCTCCGGACGCGCAGGCTCAGCGGCCACGGCTCGCTCCGCGGCATGTGGGATCTTCCCGGACCGGAGCACGAACCCGTGTCCCCCGCATTGGCAGGCAGACTGTCAACCACTGCGCCACCAGGGAAGCCCAAGAACTGGAAATTTTTTATTAAAAAATAAGCATTGTCAATAATCTCATATTATGATTCATTTAAAAAAATCATGAAAATTTTTAATGATACCGTTTTTGGTGACAGACTTTGCCCTGTTTTTTAGGTACTGACATTTCTATATGTCTACTAAAATAACTAAAGACATGACGCTGAGTTGAGTTATATGACTTTCAACTAACTCAGGATCAGGATGGAGTTCACAATTTCTTCCACCAAATTCTATCAGCCAAACCAGCCAATGTCCAAGGACCATAGGAGGATGTATGAAAAGGCCAAAGAGAAGAAGAGAGAAAAAGAAATAAACCAGGGAACCAAGTACTAGAAGAAACTTCAGTAGTCTGTCCAACAGGAGATCACTGTTTGCTTTTAATACCACAGGCTATCCAGCAAGCCCGCTGATTTCTCTCTTAGGATATTACTGATGATACAAGTTCTGCCTTCCTTGGTTGGGGTTTCTCTGAGGCTTAAAATGAGCCAGTGACATAAGCTAAATTTTGCAGGATGAACTGCCTCCTATCTTTAAACAGAACCATCATTAAAATTAGTAATTATCTCTTATTGTTTCTTTAGAGAAGTTAAATTGCATCTGGATACACGAATAAAAACTAGTCTAGACAGAACCGTTTTGAGAGACTGATCACTAAATATCTAGAGGAAGCCTGTTAGTTCAACAACTGCAAAAATGCTTTGAGACCAATTGCTGAAAGCAAGTTCCAGGATCAAAGGAACTCTTTCTAGTTTCAACAGTGAAGAAAGAAGTGTTTAGTAACTCTGCAGAATCTTATCATCCTACCACCAGCAAGGGCCATTCTGAGTTTTGATCTTTGAAAAGAGAATATATCATTTTAAAGCTATTTTTTTAGGGCAGATCTTTTTTTCTTAGAAATGTGTGCTTTTGAAGCAGCTTCACTCCCATTCTCTTAATTTAAAAGTGTTTTGTCAAGAAAAAGAAGCATAAGGATGATATCATCATTATACCCCATTCTGGGCTTGATCTTGCAGTAAAATCATAATGCTTCATCTATGAAACAATAATTTCCATAACAACAGGCACAAAACCCAATTAAAAATAACTCTTTGGTTCATGAAAATCTCTGTGGGCCAACTTCAAGCTCCTTCCTTGCATTATTAAAAATGTGAAGAGATTTAATTTAGGAAGACAGGGTTGTTGTTTTTTTTCAATGCACTTAATATTCTCAGTGCAAAACAATGTTATCTACGCAACATGAAGTGCCGTGGAGAGTGCACTGGACAGGGAGTTAAGAATTGTGGTTGCTAGTCCTCAATTTGCTACTAAGAAAGAAGTTAGAGGCTAGTAAATGCTTATTATGTACCAGGCACTTTATTTATTAACTTATTTCATCTTTACATTATTATCATTTTGCATATGTGAAACCAAAGGCCTAGAAATCTAAAACGACTTGTCCCGAGGTCACACAGCTAAAATGTGATAGAAAAGTGTTCCAACCTAGGTCTGACCTACTCAAAGCCTGCACACCTTCCCCTGCATTATACTGCCTCCCAGCTAACGTGACCTTTAGATAGCAACGTGACTTCTTAGTTTCCTCACATCTAAATGAAGAGGATAGGAAAGCTGCTCTTTGTCATGACTTCCAGCTTGCTCTACAGAACAATCACAATGTTAGGAAATCTTACACACCTTCCGCATAAGTCATGGTGGAAAGAAATCTCTAAAAAATACACTGTACCTCTACTCAGGGATACTGAAATGGCTGGTACTAAAGACATGATATAGATCAGTTTGGTACTAGATCCACCCACAATCAGCAATTTGCTAAAACGTGCAGCGTCTTGTAGTCTCAGGAAGTCAGACTTACAAAGTGAGGAGATGGTCTAGAGGATGTCTGCAATGCCTCTGAGATCTCATATGCTCACAAACATTTAAAACATATGTATTTGGTAAAGGAAGATGGCTTAACTGTTGAAATTTTGGAGTTCAGTCATTTGTCCCCATGGCAAAATTATAGTCTTTCAAAGCATTAATGATCTGAATTCCTTTTAAGATTTCTTTTTCCTTCTGGGATATCAAAACATGTCTCATTGGTACTAACACCTTACTCCCAGCATTAATGTGAGTGTTATAGAGTGTATATCTACAAAACTGGGGCAGTGGTTTTATTATTATTTTAAAACGTTGGAATTATTTTTTTCTACCTGTAATCTCGCATAAAGAATATAAAAATCACATAAAGGGGAAGTTGCTCTGCTGTTAAAGAAGCAGGCTAGCTTGTCCCCCAAGGCATCACCCAGAACCTCTGGATTCTGCAAAACCCTCTAGGGGGCTCATTTCTCCCTTTAGGAAAGTGATGAGTTTCTTTATCAGAAAACTCCAGCAAGGGCTTTTAAAAAACATTTCCAAGTAACCCTTTGCTCTTTAAAGTCAGATTTAAAAATACAGATTTTCTTCACTTACAAATTAAAAAAAACTGTTTTTCTAGGACATCATTTATTATACATATCAAGGTCCAGAGTTATTCAAAGCTACCCTTTTTAGTCTATCTGTGTTATCAGCCCTTTCGCATGCATTTTCAACACTCCTTTAATTACAAAGTCCAAGTTTATAAGCTCTCTCTCGAAGATTTTATAGGCCATATCCTCTTACGTCAAGTGAGTTACAGAACAGATTGCCTTTCCTTATTTCTATCCATCAGGAAACCAAGATTTAGGATTTGTGCTTAATTTCAGCAACTTGATTCTTTTCTTTCCTTTAAAAATACCCCCTGCATATTGACTTTTCTCCCTAATTAATTATTTAAAATTATTTTTGCTAATCACTTTAAATTCTATTTGAAAGTATTTGGGCATAAGTCAATAAATGAATTTATTTAATGAAGAAAAGAATAGCTTCCAAGGGATGTAGTGATAATTAACCCAACTCCCCCATTTTACAGACAGCTTCATGGGAGGTTAGTTGATATATATGTATATAACATCACTGATGGATTTCAGGTTTGTTTGCAAGCGTATTTTTAATCTATTTTAATAGTTGTTTGTTTCCTATTATTTCAAGAATATTTCAAATTTATTTCATATTCAAGATGTATATAATAGTAACTTTGGATCATTTTGGGAAGAAAGTCTTGTGTGCAAATGTCCTGTGAAGCACTTATATTGTTTTTTTTGAATGTGAGGAAAGAAACATTAAAGAGCAATAGAGAAGAGTAAAACAAAGCTAAGAAATCTAAGAAGCAATGTGATCAAAGATGTTTAACAGACTAAAATGACAGCTGTCCCTAGAGTTGAAACATGGATGTAGCTTGGGAAAATCAAACCCAAACCAATTATATTTTTATTTTTAAAACTTTTAGACTTGAGTGCCACAAAGCTGAGACTCATTACATACCCTTTAGGTAGCTATCTCCCTCTACTGGTATATTTTAAAGATGCTAACTACATAAATGAACCATCTGTATCATGTACCCTATCTCTCACTATAGTTCAACCTAGTTGGTTCTAGCTTCCTTTTCGTTGCCTTAAACAACAGATGTAAGTAATTTCTATTTTATAACTATCTAGTGATTTGAGTAGCTAATCTGTTTACTCAATTAAGCCATTTAAGCATGGGGATTTGAATGGGTACTTCTGCAAAGCCACAACCCAGCAAACTGCATAGATAATAGGCAGGTAGGAATCCATTTAGTTTGCCTTCTAGAAATGATTTATCTATCTCCATTTTATTAAGAACAGGTTGTGTTTTTTCTTTTTTTTCCTTTTT